GGGGGTGGGGGTGGGGGGAGGACCAGGGAGGATGATTCAACCACTCAACCACTAGATGTCGCTGAAAACAACAAATCCTACGCACTGTGCCTTTAACGGCTAAAAAAGTGGATTTTGCTCTAAATGTCCCCATTTTTTAAAACTAGTTTGGTTAGCCCTTTAGCCCAGCCTGAATAAAGACTTTTATCTGTAATGACTGATATGATACTAACTATTACAGCTGTTTGACATGACTTCACTTCAACAACGACTAGACAGTCAAATCAGATGTTTCTTATAATAAATTAGTATTTTGAGGACRAGACCATCATCGGAAAAAGCTCTGTGAAGCACTGAAGCCTTTAGGAGTCTTTCTAGTCCATTTTCGGCCTCAAGTAACCCCAAACTAATTCATTTCCCTGCTAATGTTTAGTGACCGCAGCATGTTGACAGTCTGGTCAGTCTCCTTCCTGACTGTATTACTCACAGACCAGCACAGAAGCCTTTCCAAGCCCGCTGCCTTTCTTCTGTTTGTCTCACAAATGTTTGGAAGAGAGTAAATTTGCCAGACACACTATTTCTCAATTTGCTTACCAGCATTTTTTTTCTGTTGAGCCACAGCTAGAAGTTTTTTGTTTGTTTGTTTGTTTGTTTGTTTTTGTTGCTAGCATCAGCTCTGTCATGTTTCCACTGCTCCTTTCAGCACTTTCCAAACCACAGATAAACCAGCTGCAGGTTATAATTAAAGGGGTAGTTCAGATCTTTTAAAGGGATTGTCTGGTCTTTTCTTAAAAGGATGTTCTCTCTATTCATTTTCAGCAGTTTGTAGATTGCAGATATAAGCTAACAGGAGACACATTTACAGTCTTTTTTTAAGTCGATATAAATAAAATCATTGAAACATATTTAACTAAAAGTGCATTTCCTGCTAAAATGCTAGTGTGAATGCTTCTTGCTGAAAACCTGCTGAAATGGAGCTAAAAATGTTTAACAGTTCGTGCAAGTTCATTTAGAAAAGCTGAAAGGGGTATAAAACATTTAACTTGGCAGAAAACAGTAGAAAGAAGCAGAATAATAACTGAATAAGCAGAAAAAAGCTAAAATTGGCATAAAAACAAGCTAAAGGTAGCAGACACAAGTTGAAATTAGCAACCAGATGGTGAAAGTGATGTAAAAACTTTAGCAGGAAAAAACAAAACTACAAAAAAGTGACTATTTGTTGTAAAATAGCTAAAACAGACAAAAAGTACAATAAAACAGCTAAAGTGCAGCTGTAAATTCTTAAATTAGCATAAGAAGCACAAGGAGAACAAGTTTGCTAAAATAAGCAGAAAAAAGCTAAAATAGCCTCCAAAATGTGAAATTAGCATAAAAAGCTAACTTTGGCTAGTAATGGCTAAACATTAGCTAAAATTGCAGAAAATGGCTGAATGAAGCAGAAATAAACTGTAAGAAGCAGAAATAGCTCCAATTAACAGAAAGAAGCACAAAAATATAGAAAACAGCTAAATAAAGAAGCAGAATTATGGTTAAAATAGCAGAAAAAAGTTAAAATTAGAATAAAAACAGGCAAAAGGTAGCAGGCACAAGTTGAAATTAGCATCCAGATGGTGAAAGTGATGTAAAGAAAAGCATAAAAGTAAAAAAAGGCAATTATTTGTTGTAAGATAGCTAAAGCATCCTAAATGTATAATAAAAGTTAAAATACAGCTGTAAATTATTAAATTAGCAGAAGGAATTACAAGGAGCACAAGTTTGCTAAAATAAATAGAAAGAAGCTAAAACAGCCACCAAAATGTGAAATTAGCGTGAAAAAATTAACTTTTGCTAKTAACGGCTAAAAATTAGCTAAAATTGCAGAAAATAGCTGAATATAGTAGAGATAAACTGTAAGAAGCAGCAATAGGTCTAATTAACAGAAAAAACCACAAAAAGTAGACAAAAGCAAACTTATGGTTGAAATAGCAGAAAAAAGATAAATTTGCAAAAATTAAGCTAAAATTAGCAGAACAAACAGCAGAACCAGAACAACAGATGTAACGTGATGCAAAGATTTAGAGTTCCGTTCATTTTCAATCAGAGAAAAGCGGACGAAAAAAATAATAAAATAGCAAAAAAAAGTATAAATGGCTAAAATACCAAAAGTCATAGCAGCGTCGTCATAAATGAGCTGAATGTTTTGATGAATCGTTGAAATGGCACAAAAATTACTGGAATGAGATAGATGCAGAAAAACCTATGAAATAGTGCTGAAATAATAAAGACAAACGTGAAAACAACAGAGTGAAAGCTGTGAAGCATCAACACAATAATCATAAAACAGGCTTTARATCACAAACTGAATTTATCAAACATTAACTCTTTGTGATACTTCACTGATCGATATTTACTTTGATGATGCATCTGTGTCTGCCGCTGCTCRCATGTGATGTTTCTTCCACAGACAGTGAGCCGTGTCCTCACGTCAAAGGCTTCATCCCTCATTCTCATTGTTTGAGTCCAACATCTCGCCGCCATGGCAACCAGAGCAAAGAGGAGACGTGATAAAAATGAGAGATAGTGAAAGGCCGTGACCTGAAACATGGCTGACRGTCTGCGACGACGCTGTGTTCAGTGTTCCCCTCACTGAAATGTGACACTTATTCTGCTATTAGAGTTCAACTATTGTCAGTAATTTACTTAGAAAATAAAATAAAATAAAAAGAGACATCATCGCACTTGATGATTAATTCAGAAATCTGTCAGTTTTACAACTTAAATTTGGTGTGGTAGTTGCTGAGCCTGATCCCAGAGGAGCTCAAGTCGAATCTTTCCAGCTGAGTGGGATTGTGTTCTCCTGATGTTTCAGACGACACCCGGCCTATTTCCCATCTTTCACAGAAGAAGAAGTGTTGATTCATCAGAGATGCCGTGCCTCCACAGCTCGCAGCTACACTGACTTAACATTAAATTGATTATCTTCAGACTGAATCCGCTCGCCTCCTGGGAGCTCTGATGTTTAATTTAGTAAATTTCAATCTAAATCAAAAGCAGGGGCTGTGATCGCTGATGCCTTTTTATCCRGTTAAAATGCCACGAGGAGCCGAGAAAAACACAGATGTGAGATTAAAGAGATGCTGGTAAAACATAAAAGATGGAGTCGGAGGTAAATATGAACACGTGCTCAGATACAAATAAATCAGCTTTTGCTCACTGACAAACATAAATTTCACCGCAGCCGTCTCGTTTTGCTGCTTCTGCCTCGTCCTTGGCTTCCTCCTCTGTTTCCACATGACGGCACTGAAAAGCCTTTTCTCTCGCCTCCCTGTTGCCAAAGCAGCCGCTCCGAGAGAGAAGGACAGCGTGGAGCAGGGTATTGATTCGCAGTCTGCTGYGCGAGCCGGTGAGGAGAGGGAAAAAGATGTTCTCTGCAGAGATCTAGAAGTATTACAGCGGTTTTAGGGATGAGGCTTGTGCTCATCCGTATCATCTGCATGCARCGGCTCATATTTGAGGTGTTATCGGTGCGTGTCTAAGCTTCGGCTAAGTGGAGGCCTGAAARGAACTACTTTTAGTCGCTGCACAATGTGGGTAATTGACTGCTGTGTCAATGGTTCATTCAATCTGCAAACATTATGTGCAGCGAGCTCTGCAAGAGCTGAACCAAATCCACTCGTTTTACTGTAATACACATCTGTGTGCAGATAGACACAGAGGAGTCTGTGTCGTTTTTTTTTTTATTGGAGCTAATTTTAGCTCCGTAAAGACAGGAGGACAAAACAAAACAGCTTTAAAGTGCCTGTGACGTGCATATCCTTTAAACACAAAACATCAAAGAAAACGTCTTTATATTTAAGAAATGTGGTTTAATACACAGTTTTACCTGTTTTGTCAGATTTGTGGCATATTTTCTTTTGAACTTGGCTCTGCCAAAATGAATCAGGAAGTGACATCAAAGGGGAACTCTCTGCTCTTTGTTTCTTAAAGGGATCCCAGATTAGTTGTAACATTTGACCACATTTAATAAACTTATATTTTAACTGTAAAATAAAGACTGTAAAAATACTGTAGGCTGTTCAGTTTTTATAATTTTTCAAACTAAAATTTTAAAAATATATAGATAGTGAGGTGCAGAAACCACATCTTCTGGTTGAAGTGGAAATGCTGTTGCTCAATGAAGAAGGACTCTGAAAACAAGGCTGGTTTGAACAGCAAGAACCTTTATTTTGCAGTTCAGGAGATTACAGCCTAAAAAAACCAAATTGTGGCCTCCAAGCCTAATGATTCACCAAGTAAGAAAGATGGAGAACGAAGGCCAAGAGCAGGGGCGTACAAGGCTCTTTACAGGTTTTCCACAGATGTACATAAATCTTGTCACGGTATACCTTAAGCGTTCTTCTATCCTAATATGGTACTATGTGCCGAGCTCTAAAGCTGGAAACTTCGAGGCCTCACATCTGTGCGTTCCTGAGACAAACCCCCCACTCTTTGGATACTACAATAGACCAAACAAAACAACATGAGTTGTTTTTCAGCTAATCTGGGCAGACGACAACGGTGTTTGTGTCCTTCTGAGTGGTGGAATTGCTTCCTCTTTTAGTAATAATCTTGTTGCTAGTCCAACTGGTTTTGGGCTGATGTGCAGTGCCATTTGACCTCCAAACATGATGTGTATTCTGGCATCCAAACAGTTCAATGTTGGTCTCATCTGACCAGACT